GTTTAACGAAATACATAGTGGACAGCAAAGATGCTGCTTTGAGCGATGGTAACAGAGTTCATGAAATATTCTAGTATCACTAATTAAGCTCAATTCAAGCAAATTTATTTTCTGTTTGAGTGATTTGAGTCATCCTATACTTTTACCAAATATTTACGTTGATGGTTATATGGTGTACCCTGTGTTTGGCTTCCGTCATTATTACTTTTGACCGCCACGTTTTCTCAGCTGTGCAATAAAATAAAACATAATGTTTTTATACAAAAAATCCACTGCAAGGGGAAGTATGCTTTAATGCGCTAAAATCAATTCAATATGTTCAGAATTATAAATTTGATTATTTAAAACCAAAAATGTTTTCAACCCATTGTGAAAGTGAATATATATAATATACGGCGCACGCAATATAATAATATAATATAATATAATGTATAGTATATAATTGGTAATTTTAATGCATTGATCAATTTTCGGCCAAGATCCTACTCCCATTCGTGGTGTTCGTCATGAGGTTTTCCTAACCAAAGGGAGTAACCTATAGCGGATACCAAGCGGGCTGCGAAAGGCTGAAGAGCCTTTATTTCGTATTAGAAATAAATTTGAGCTTCGGAGGAGGGATCGCACGTTTTAAAAATTAACTTTTGATTTTTTTATTTAATTACTTATAATTTTTTTTATTTTTAACTCGGATAAATAGTGCCGAATCAAACAAAAAGTGCGCTTTTATGTGAGAAGTGACCTTTTAAATTAAAACTTTAATACATTTACGACAATAAAACGAAATAATTTTATTACATTAATTAATTAAATTAATTAATACGCTGAAAGATACATACATCTTTCCCGTATCCACCCATTCAAGCACTTGCCATGCATTAATCCTCAAGTCATTACCGCAACTAGTTTGTGTCTCGTCACGCTAACAAAATTTATGGCTTGCCACATATGCTAGGCAACAAGTCACACTTACACAGAATAACCAAATAAATTTAGTGATATTTGCGTATTAATTACAAAGGCAGCCGTGACTAGTCGAATGAAATAAAAGAGAGGAAAAAATGTCATGGTTTATGTGTGCTTATAACAAAAACATCATTAATTAAATGCCTCCGTTGCTCGCCTCGCATTCATTACAATTTTGCTGTCATAATATTTATTTGGCATGAATTTATGTATGTGCGAGGGTTTGTGTGTTGGTTTTCAGGTATGCCACAGAGCCTCGTCGGTATTATTTGTAATTTTTCAATGAGCAAAAAAAAGCAAAAAAAAAAAAATAAGAAAAAAAATCTTAAAATAAATGTTAAAAAAAAATATAACAAAGGGATAATGTTTAAAAAAAAAATAGAGCTAAAAATGGCATAAAAATATTTCGCACCCAAAAGTTATGACAACTTTTTCGTATTATTTTGTGAATTTTATTGTTTTTTTTTTTACTTTGCTCATTTTCCTTTACTTTGCTGTGGCCGTTTATAACGGTTGATTATTATACCTTCGCGCCACCACAAACATATAACTGCAGGCGAAAAATATGAATAATGGAAAACGGAAAACGGAAGACGGAAGAGAGGAGAGGTGGAAGGCGAGTTAGGGCAGGAACATCCGCCATAGTGTTGCCACAGCAACAAGCATTTTCGGTTTTTGTCCAGTACGGAGGAGGTAGGTAATTCACCAAAAATGAACGCAAAAGGAGAAATCAAAAACAAAGTATTGAAAAATGCAAGCCTTTGTTTTAGCTTTTTTATTGTTGGGCTTTCAAAGCTTTTCTTTCCTTGCTGGCATTGGAAAGCATACATACGAGTATACATATTTTTGTAATGTGTACGTGCACAATAATTCTTTGCTTGCGTGAAAATTATATATACATATTTGTGTGGTGTAAATCAAGTGGGATACTTCAGTATTTAAAAAAATTTTATGCTCTTTTTGTTGGCTTTCCAACGCTGTGCGCTTAGCTTTCAAGGTTTATGTATGCTTTGTTTAATCGTCTACAAAGCGAAAAACGAAAAATTTGGCGAAAAAAGTTGGTGGAATTTTTTTTTTATTTTCGTCTACCTGTCTGTTGTTTTGATGATAATTGAAATGCCGTGTGGATTTTCGTATGAAAGGAAGCAATAAAACTTCTCTCTTCTCGGTCAGCAGCGAACATAATTTACAAGAACTTCTGTTGTGGGAAATATTTCAAATTTTTTTAAGCGTCACAAATGAAATAATTAGAATTGCAGAATTGGTGATTGTGACAGTTTGTTTTCTACAAGCAAATCCAGAAAAATTTAGTGTCTGCTTAGCTTTTTCTTTTATTTTGATTTTCAGGCTGATGCACTTTAAATTTATCTGGAAAAATTACTCAATCTTGCTATGTTTTTTTTTATTTTAAAAACTTTACTGCGAAAATATTTTGTGTTTTTTGATTGATTTTCTCTAATATTTTTAAAGAACTAATCTTTCAATAATAAAATAAATAAATAAATAAATAAATAAATAAATAAATAAATAAATAAATAAATAAATAAATAAATAAATAAAATAAAATAAAAATTGAAATTAAAATAAATAAATACAAAAAAATAGTAACCAACTAGCCTACTAAATATTCATAAAAAATATTCCTTAAAAATATGAAATGCACATCCAAGTTTTGTATTGTTTAATTTTTAATTAACTTAAAAGTTGGAAGCAGCCTAAAGCGCTGAAAAAAATTCACAAATATTAGCTTTTGCTTTTGCTACTAATGACGTTCATTTGATTTTCTTTACAAAATCTTGACACTCTGTATGAAAAGTTTACCAAATTAAAGTCACTTCAAATTTTCTCTTGATACACATACGAGTATATATGTATTTATGATGCCACTTTACCAACACCACCACGAAAAAAATTTGAAACATGTAAAATCTGTCAATTAAAAGTTGTTAACTAATTTAGCTGGTAACAAAATTTTCAAGCGGCGCGTGCTTGTGTTGGCAGTTTCAAGTAGCAAAAGGTGTTAATTGAACATCGCAAAATATATAAGGGTGAATGTTTTTTATTTAAAATACTTTTGATACCTAAAAAAAAACAATAATTAATGACTACATTTGTACTACTTAATGTTTTAACTAAATTTCTTTAGAGCTATTTTTATAATATTTATTTGTTTTTTATTATTTTTTGATATTTATTTGAATTTTTTTTAAATTTATTAACTAATTTTTTTTTTTCCTTTTGTAAAATTTTTTTTTTTAAATTAATTCATGGTTTTTTTCGCTTTTATTAAATCTTTTTAGAATTTTGTGTATACTTTTTTATATTATTTATTTGTTTTCATAAAATTTTTTAAGATTTAAATTATATATTTAATATATTATTTATATGCTTTTATTAACCTTTTTAGACTTAGTTATGTATTATGTATTTCTTTTTATTAGACTTTTTAAAATTTACTATTTTGATTATTTATTAAGTTGTTTTATTTAAATGCTTTAGTTTATATTTATATCTTTTATATATATTTATATCTCCTATATATTATTTATTTGCTTTAGTTAAATTTATTTAGATTGATTTTTATATAATTATTCTATATTATTTATATTTATGTATTTTTTATTCGTTTATATTACCATTTTTAGTTCCATTTATTTATTATATATTGGATTTTCTTAAATTTTTAAAGTTTATTTTTATATCTACTGTTTAATTGCTTTTATTAATTTTTTTTTTAAGTTATAATTTCTCAATAAAATTTTTTTTAGACTTATTTTTATATTTATTATATATGTTTAATTTTTATATAAATTTTTTATTCGTTTGTTGTATTATTTTTAGTTCTTTTATATATGATATATTTTTTTTTTATCAATTTTGCAAAATTTATTTTGATACCTACTAATTATATGTTTTTATTAATTATTTTAGACTTATTTATACTTTTGTATACATTATTTATTTGTTTTGAATAAATATATTTACATTTATTTTTATATTTATTTTATTCGCTTATAGTAATCTTTCTTAGATTTAATTGTATTGTATATTATACGTTTGGTATTATATATTTTTTATATTTATTCATATATTGTTTATTTATTTTTAATTTTTTTTTTAAGTTTTATTTATTTATTATTCAGTTGTTTTTAGTACTTATTTTTTAATATTTAATCGATTATTTATTTATGTATTGGCTTGTATTTAATAATTTTGATTTTATCAATTCTTTAAATTTAATTATATATTTATTTTTTAGTCATTTTTATTGTAATTATTTAATATAATATTTTCTAGTTTTTATTTATTTAATTTTTGGTTTTTGTTATGCATTATATTCGTTTTTTTTTTAAATTTATGAATTCTTCATTAATTAATATTATATCTGAGTTTAAAGTTATTCAATCCAAATTTATACCAAATTTCCAAGTAAAATTATTTCAGGTTACGTATACGCATTGTTGCACCATTAAAAGATATTATTTAATAGAAAATTGTATGTACATGTGTGCCTGTACTTTGCCTCGGCAGTAGTGTAAAATTGCTGACATGCCTTTTGTTGTGAAAAATTTTTAACTGCTTATATAAGTTGGCTTTATACTAATAGCAACAACAAAAGAGAACAAAAGAAAAACGCCTTCCTAAATGTCGCTACACATTTGTTCGTCGTTAAATGTCAGCAAAATGTCTCGTAAGAATTATATATTACAACATGAGCCAACCTAATGTTGTTGTTGTTGTCGTTGTTACTGCAATTACCTTAATGAAAGAGTAGCGACAATATTGCCAAGCGACTTATGTACATACATATGTACGTGCATGGGTGCGCGGTTTGAGTGAAATACAAAGTTTCAATTTGTTGTTGTTGTCATGTATGTAAGTATTTAAACCGTATAATGCATGTAAGCGGCTATTCTGTTGTTTGGGCATATTACTAAAGGTTTAACGGACTAATATGGATTTAACTTTATTATAGTTTCGCATTCGTATGAAGGTTTTATGTAGGTTTGTAGGTATATTTGCTTTATTTGTCCTACCTGCACAGTCTTTCGTCTCCCCTTGGTGACATCAGGATCATTGGTTATGTGCTCTTCAATGAGAAAGCGTAATTTATCAAACACTTTATTTTTAAATTTACTCAAATAGGTCTCATGATCATCATTATCCGGATCGATGCTGCGCTCATTCGATTTGCCAGCGACACTGTTGTGAGAGAAATGGGTAGAGTTAAATTAGTTCTAGTTGAAATAAAAAAAAAACATTTTATGCGAGCAAAATAATTTTTACATTACTTTAAATAAGCTTAGATTGTATATATCTGTATAATGTATGCTGGCATAATTTTGGTCGTACTTACACAAGAGTTGTATAATTGTCGGAGGATAAATTCATAGTAAGTTCATCTTTCATTTTCCGCAACCGTTCGCCAGCTTCCACATTTTTGGTACTCAATTGTGAGGACCATTCACGAAACACAGCCAGAATTTTGTCATTTGAAAGTTCTGTGTGGCATTTGGAAAATGTGAAATGAATAAAATAAAAAAAGATCAGTAATCAATATTTGACTGTTGGTAATTATTTTAGGTTTAAGTTGTGACTATATGACTGGATAATAATATAAAATCAATTTAATTTTATTTTTTATTCATATTTTAATTCTTTTTTGTTTTTTTTTTATTTCAATAAAATTTGTGGTTAATTTTTTAACTTAATATTTTTGTTTTTGTTTTATTTACTTTTTGGTATTTATTTAAATTTATTGTTATTTTAGCTTTATTTTTATTTTTGTTCCTAATTTAAGTTTTTATTTTATTATTATTTTTAATTATTTTTAATTTCATTTTTTAATTTGTGTTGTTTTTTAACTTTTTATTTATGTTTTTTTATTTTTATTTTTTATTTTATTTTTACCGTTTGACTTAATGGTTTTATTAAGTTTTATTTAATTGAATTATGTTTTTATATTTTTAATGTTTCTTTAGTTTTGTTTTAACATTTTCAATATTTTTTAAAAACTATTATTTTTTATTATTTTCTTTTAGTGTTATAATTGTTTTAATATTTTGGTTTACATATATATATTTATTCTAATTGAAATTTTTATATTTTTAGTTTTATTTTACCAATTGATTTATTTTTTTTTCATAGTTTTATTTTATTTGTTTTTGCTTTTATATTTTAATCTTTATTTGTTTTAACTTTAGTCTTTTGCTTCATTTTCTTACATTTATTGGTATTTTGATTTTGCATATTTTTGTATTAATTTTTGTTCCTTCTTTCTTAATTTGGTTATAATTTTACATTTTATTTAAATTTTTGTTTGCAATTTGATTTTTATTTTATTTTTTGATATTTTATTTTTGTGTTGATTTTTTATTTTTGTTTGCATTTTTCTTTTTATTTTGATATTAATATTTTCCTCATTTCAAAGTTTTAGTTTTTATTTCAATTTCATATTAAACTTTTAATTTTTATTTAAATTATTGTTTAATTTTAATATTTATTTTTACTTTATTGTTGTTTTTATTTTTGTTTTTATATTTATCATTATTCTTATTATTATTTTTAGAATTTTCCAATTTTATGATAATTTATTTATTCATGCTTAAGTTTTTGGTTACTATTTCTGTTTAATTTTTCATTTCCATTTTTTGTTTGTTTATTTTTTGTGTATTTTTCTCTTGGTTCTTAATCATACTTTTGTTTTATTTTTTTGTTGCAGTTTTGATTTTTATGTTTAAATTTTTTGTTTTATTTTTATTTCCATTTTTTGTTTTTGTTTTGTGTTTTTTTGTCTGTGTTTTTATTCATATTTTTATTCAAATTGATTTTTGTTGCTTTTTCAATCTTTCAATTTGAAGTTAAATATTTTATTTTGTTTTTTTACCAGCTCTTTAGTGTTTAATGACTTTTTTATTTTACTCTTAATTTACTTTAATTTTTATTAAATTTATAATTAATTCTTTTGATTTTTTTTTTTAATTTAATTCTCAGTTTTATTTTAATTTAAGTGTTAGTATGTTTTCAATGAAATTTAACTTTTAAGTTTAATTTGAATTATTTTAATTTTTATTTTCCTCTTCATTTTTCGTTTGAATTTTGTTTTCATTTCAATTTTCATTTCAATTTTCGGTTTTATTTTTTGTTCATTTCGATTTTCATTTTGATTTTTATTTTATTTTTTATTTTTTATTTTATATTATTTATTTTAATTTTTCATTTGCATTTTCATTTCCGTTTTAATTTTTATCATTATTTTAATTTAATATTAATTTTTATTTTTTTTAATTTTCATTTCAATTTACATTTTTTTGTTCCATTTCAATTTCCGTTTTGATTTTTATTTTAGTTTTCATTTATATTTTCATTTTCATATTCATTTTTATTTTAGCTTCAAATATGTTACTTTTTTCTTACCCAATGCACGCTGCACCTCCCGTTCGAGCTGTGTTGCTCTCAGGTTTTGTACACGCTGTAAAAAATCGTCTGCTCCGGCTTGACTTGTATTCTCTTTAATACACCGTAGCGAACGCTCTATTACATCATTTAGTTTCACGTACTCCTCGTGCCAATGTTCGAGTAACATGGAGCTGGAAGAGAACAAAATCACTATGGAGATTGAGTATTGCAGAAAAAGTTTTATTCGAAGATAAAAAGAAAACATTGAAACACAAAATTTAAAAACTTTTTTATATGCGGAACTCGTATTTCTAATCTATATCTGATTGGTTTCAAGCTGAAAAATAATTTAGGCCGAATGGAAAACCGTAGTAACACGATTCACGAGGTTCATTCGATATTCAGGTTCGTACAACTCAGATACCCGCTGAAGTACTAAATACTGATTAAAATCGAGTTCATTTTACTTAAACATGCAGTGCTTACTGATGTCTAATAAAATTGTCTCAGTTGAGATTAAAGAAAAGTTTATGGATTTTTATTCTGCAAAGAGAGCGCTCGCCACCTCGATAATAACTTTTTTAAATATTTCGTGTCAATGCACAAGAACAAAGAGATGTAAATCACAAGGAATTTCGCTCAAATCAACTACGTGTGTATGTATGTGTGCATTTACATTGACAAACTAACTGGATGCACAGCTGCATTTTGCGAAAATTTCCAAGTTTATGCGAACTTAATGAAATGTATTTATGTATGGGTTGTATGTAAGTGCGTGCAGTAAACAAATAACCCGAGAGGGTGAAACAATTTTGAGAAAATATTTTAAGCGCCATCCCGACCTCTGTGCGCCCTTCCTGCTTGCTCTAAGCACACATAAGATGTAAAGTAAAGTAAATTTATAAAGTTTCAAATGTCTGCGCAAGCATTATCTGCCACTATGAGTTTGAGCGATCAAACTGACGCAAAATAATTTAAAGAAACGCAAAAGAAGAGACAAACGAACGCAACGTAAACAAAATTGCATTTCACTTCGAGTCTCTGTCTTACTTGAATCCAGTTGTTAAGTCGGGCAAAGGAAGCACTGTTGCGATAACACAAGACGAAGACTGGTCTGGGTGGCGGCAGCTGAGCTTACTTGCCGCCAGCTCAACAGTTATTTAGTTACTTGCACTTGCAACCGTTGAACGAGCTGCTTGATTAGAAGCACCGCCCGCGTTCAAATGCAATCTGAGCTCTAATGATTGCTGCGCATGCAGAGCAGTGTGAGAAGGAGCAGGAGAGTGAGGACTAAGTTTGGGTAGAATGTTGGCTAAATGTTGTTGTGAAAAATAATGCTGCGAAAAGTGTATGGCAACAAGAGATGGGGAGAGAGAGAGAGTTCGGAGAATATTTACATTTTTATTTTGTTGCATGTAATTCTGAAATTACACACATTTCATACACAAAACACTTTTTTCAACTTAATGAGAGGTCGCTTTGTCGGGGTTTTGTTAATATTGTAAATACACCCGCATAGCTTTTGCGACAGCAGCATGCAAGCGTGTTTACATTGCACATGTTGAGATGTGGTGAGAGTTAGTAACTTCTATTTTGCATTTAATCTTGGAATATTAAGTGAGTTGAAAAATTTTGCTTGGAATGAGAGGATTGAGCACAAAGTATTCAGTTTTAACTCCCAGTTGTTGTTGTTTTTATAGTATGAAATGTAAAAATATTTCCCATACTCGTTTTTAGAAAGTTTTGCGAGAATTAGAGGGGCTCGCCGGGAGAATCTCCGTTCATTTTATTCTTCTCCTTCGTCTTTACTGGCGCAGCCGCTGCATATGTGATTATAGCCGAGTCAATCATTGTTTCTTTGCGCTGTTTGACGTTAGATGGAAATACCAATTACAATCAGGTCTTTCTCTGCCTGGTATTTTCAACATAGTCGAGACATTCCTTTGGTGGAGTATTTTTATCCATCCGTATTACATGATCTAGGCATCATAGCCGTTACCCCTTGGTTCGCTGAACTATGTCAATGTCTCGGTAAACGCCGTTCCTAGCCCGCAGATGACAACGTTCAGGCCTACGCACCATATTAGTTAGGACGGAAATGATGAACGACATATAGAGTCTGGTTTTTTATACATTATTGCTGTTAGCGATTATATTGGTGCCAAGATAGAGGAAACTATCTAGGACCTCGACGTTATGGCGGTCAACAATAACATTGGAGCTAAAAGGCGAGTATGAACTACCATTTATTTGATGATGGGAGTCATTTGTTTTTGTTTATTCTAAGGTTAGTGTTTTTAAAAGAAGCTGTTGAAAGCCGTTTAAGCCAGTAGCAACTTATATTTGATATCCTTTGCATACTTTTAGGGTGTGCTTGTTGCCAATTGTTTGTCATCACCAGAAATGGCGGAAAAACGACTCACAGCCACTTCGAGCACTCTCTCGCTTCATAATTTTTGAAGAGCAAAAGAGCCCAATATATTCCCGAAGCAATCGAATAACTGTTAATTAATCGAAGGCTTGCGTTACAACACATTTAAATGTTTGCCAGCGGCAGGTTCGGCTGAGGAACGCCACTTGCTAAGCGCTGGAAGCTTGACTTACAAAACAACTTGGGGCAGCTTCTCACTTTATAGTTTTTGAAAAGCCACAGCGCTCAAATAAATTGCCGTCGTAACAATGGAATGGTCACTTAGCATCAACTCCAACACAGGAGGATTGATCACACCGCATCGCTGCCCAGTGAATTTACCAGGTTAGAAGAGGAATGGTCATCGCATACCACCTTCACTTTTTTTTTTTTAAAGTTCATCACGCAGCTTCTTTAAGGGCCTAACGACTCGGTGAATAAATTCAAGGACATTATTTAACATCATTTATTTTTTGTTCTAAGGATCCAAGCTTAGTGCATGTGCACTTATTAAACGAAAATATTCCCCAAAAGAACTTCATCATAACCTGGTTTTGGAACGTATTTTCCACCACTATTGATTGGTGATTCGCGCGTATTCAACGGTTAGTGGCATGCTCTGGATATCGATCAACAGACTATCTCCTCCTTGCTTCCTACAAGAGTTTATCTATTATCAGAAAGAAATTTCAAGTCGGATTGATTTGTGAGAGCCATTGCACTTGGCCAACATAAACAGTTTTATAAATAATTATTTCTAATTTCAAAATTAGATGAAGTTAAATTGAAATATTAATATTATTTTTAAATGTAACTGCTCAAGAAATATAAAAATCTCTCATTTTTCGTACACCTTGCCTTAGTTTTAGATTCATTTAACGATAACTTTTTACCTTGAACTGTTTTTTCAGAATCTACGGAATATCGCTCCTCTAGAAAAGACTTCCTTAACGTCTTCTTAAGAATAAAAAAAAAAAATCATTTCATCGCTGTAATAATTGCACTGTAAACTGTCTGCTTTTTTTAATCTTCAAGTTCTACGCTGGCTATGTGAAAATTACAAAAAAAAATAATATAATTTCTTCAAGAACACACCGGCTTCTGGTGTAAATACTTCATTACGAGTAGAAGTGTATAAAAAGAGGCTTAACAACAATTGCTCAACATTCTTCCTTAAATATTTTAGCACACCTACATAAAACGTTTAACGTCCAACAAACGCTTTGAGCCGTATTACGCGAACGTCGAATAATTTATGAATGAAGTTAAAAAAAGTTGAGCGTTGTCGGCAGCCACGAAAGCGAGATAATCGAAGTTTATTGTTTTATAACTGCTTAAGTCGAATTTTATTGCGTGCTTAAGTGCTTTACGTATTCATACGTATAAATGGAAATGTTTTCACACACGCACGCAAGGTAAAGGGTGATTTTTTTCAACAAGTAGTTTTCAAGAAAAAGGAAAATGCATAAAATTTAATGTCATGAGAAAGAATTTAGCTCTTTAATAAATACAAGTTATTGTTGTTATGTTTCAAAAATGCCCGCCATACCTAGCTCGAGTAAACAACAGCCAAGTAGCCTTATCTTCGATCACGTTTTGCAGCGATTGGAGATGTATATTAACAATATGCCCCCGTATATTCTTCACCAAGACGCCAATCGTCTCGGACTTATCTGCGTTGACGAGATATTTAACATAACTCCAAGAAAAAACATTAAATCGCATAATCTTGGCGACCTCGCCACAAGCCCCTGACGTGCGGTAATGCGCTCACCAAAAGTTTTTTTCAATTAAATTATTGATTTGTTGGCTGTGTGGCATGTAGTACCGTCTTGTTGTAACCAAAGGTCATCCATGTCAACATCATCCAATTCAGGCACGAAAATCTCATTTATCATGGCTCTAGAGAGACTCTTTGAGGATCTATGCGCGTCTTATTACTATAAATGCGACTAATTTTAGCAACGTATCCAAATATGAGCTTTACTTAACTTATGGTAAACATAATCGGCCTACTGAGCTTATTATTCTCAACACCATCATTCCTCCTGAGACTCTGCATTCATTGTTGGACAATATTTGACCGAACGCAGTGAAGAGTGTTTGAGAGAGTACACGAAAACCGTGAAGAGTTGATTCGGCGCCGTTCACAGCAACTCGAGACCTTAAATTGAATGCGCACGAAATACAGTTTGTGCAAGAACTGAAACGGTTCGCCTATTCCAAGATTCATTGAGAGAACACTACGGTTTACAGATAATTTCTCGTTGTGGGTTGGTCGATTGGCCACCAATACTCTTTTCTGGGAGGATATGCAAAGTCTAAAGCCCACGTGGGCAATTCCGCTTCGATTCAGGTCTTGGAACTTTTGCCAATTACTGGTCGAAAAGCTCGAACGAGTCATTGAAAATTGTATTCAACGGATGGGCCATCTGAGAAGGAGCCGCGGCCGAAGTTTGAAATAGGTAATCTTCAAAAAATAAATGCCAGAGAATGTTCTTCCGAATGATAATAAACATTCTCCCTTAAGCTTGAACTTTCTATGTTTTTTTTTTTAAGTAGGAAACCTGAATAACCTTTTATAACTCCCCAAGCCAAGATCTTTCCCCAAAATCTCCGAATGTTTTGCGCCATGGGAAATGGAATCATTTGTGCCTTCGTTGGCACTCTGCTCCACAGCAGAAAAATGCTGTTAGGCGTCTCTGAGGATGCGTTTTAGCCATTAGAGTAGACGTGAAAGCGGATCTATCCATGCACGTACTACCGACTCTGCTGGACGATTATATAGATCCCATATTGGGAGCAGCGCGATGTGTCACGTGAGCCGAACTATCATTTCGGTAATAAATTTGCACGATTTATTTATATGACAAACCATTTTAAGTTAAACTAAGCATCATTTCCATTCTCATCGAAAATCATAGGCCTAAAAAACACCCTTTTTTACTAGAGACTTACGCATGAATGCAGTGAGTTTGTTTTAGTGAGAAAGAAAAAATTAACAATAAATATAAATAATCCTTACTATTATACTTCTAAACCATTCTATGTGTGTGTGTGTGTGCACATGTGTGTCATATACAAAATGCTCATTTATTATTTCATAAATATCCAATTATACAAAATTATCCCAGACAACATAACTCACTTACTCATCTCTCTCTATCTCTATCTCTCTCTCTCCCTCGCTCTCTTTCTAACTCACCGATAGTCCTGCTTGAGCACATATTGTATATGTGTGCCAACTGTGGTATTTTGGTCGCTGCCGCTGCTGCTGTTGTTGGCATTTTTTGTGTCTATTTCGCCACCAACAACTCCTCCTCCTCCGCCACCTTGAGCTCTTATATACCACTTTTGCAGTAAATTGCGTTCATCGTCACTCGTTTGTGTCTGCTGAAGAATGGCTGTGTAGATGTCTTCATCAATGTGTGTTGGTAATGGCATGGGACCGATATTATCGCCGATAAGCGCCTATAAAGCAGTTAAGTGAAGGCAAAAAAAAAAAAAAAAAAAAACGAAAATGATAATTTGCTAAATATGCTCGTTGTATTTTGTTGATTGGGTACTAGTTGTTGTTTTTTTTTTGTAACACTTACCAGAAAAAATACACTCTTCGAGTTGTTGTAGCAAGTCTCAATTTCATGTAGATAATCCTTTAATATATATGGATCTTGTTCGACTTGTATTATATTTAAGGGACCAGTGCCGAAGTGCATGTCGACGATTTCAATCTGGTGTTGAGATTTAAGTACAAAAAAGGCATAAGTAGAGATTAATGAATTTTTTAAATTAATTTTTCAATAAGAATTTTTTTAAAAATATTTTTTATAAGTATTTTACCTCAATTTGTCGATCATCGTAAATGGACTGTAGCTCTGGTCCAACCAATTCCAAAAGCATGCGTCGCTCTTGGCAAAATTCTGTAAAAGAAATTTCCCATAAATAATTGCATATAATTGCATAGAGTGCTTTTTTTTTGTAGATTTACTATTGGGTTGCCCCAACAGAAGCCACCGATTTTAATTCTATTTTTTCTTTTGACAGTTATAAGCTGACACGCTTAGCTTGCTTTGGAAAAAAGTACGCGTAATTTTTTTTTAATATTTTTTTTTGTTTGGCGTCAATTTAAAATGGTGCCCACTAAGAATATCGCCATATTTTACTCTACTATTTCCTTGAAGACAAAAAGAGGCACAGTGTTGCAGTTGGTTTGTCAAATTCCATTTGTTAGATTTTTCACTCAAAGATAGGCCACGCTCAGGTCGACCAAGTGAAGTTGCTGATGACGATGTCGAGCCTTCAATCGAATCGGCTCATCATGTCACTGAACGTGAGACTGGAGAGAAGTTCAGCATACCAAAATCAATCGTTCATGGTCACATACGACGTCTTGGACTGGAAAAAAACTGGATATTTGGGCACCACATGAATCGAAAGGGACTCATTCAACACACCGCTTCAACGCTTGCGATATGCAACTTAAACGCAATGAATATGATTACTTTTTGTAGCAAATCATAACTAAAGATGGAAAATGGATTGTTTACAGCAACGTCAATCGAAAACAATCATAGTCCAAGCATGATGAAGCGCCATAAACCACTTCAAAATCTGATATTCATGAAAAGAATACTATGCTGCCAGCTTGGTGGGATTTGGAAGGGTGTGGCACTTCCAAGTTTAATTCGAATGTCTACTGTGAACAACTGGACAAATTGAATACATCCGACAACGAGAAGTGACCGGAATTGATCAATTGTGCAGGTGTCGTATTCCACCAGGACAATGGTTGACCACACATATTTTTGTTCACTCGCCAAAAGCTGAGAGATCTTGGCTGGGAATTGTTGATGCATCCACCATATAGCACTGACGTTGCGCCGTCACACTACCATTTGTTTCCAACTTTACAGAACTCACTAAATAGTAAAGCTTTCGAAAATGATGAGGCTATAAAATGGCACTTGGCTCTGATAAAGGACAGAGGTTCTATGAGAGTTCTTCCTAAGACAGTACGCAACGCTAACCACTCGGCTACCGCGGCTTCACGACTGACTCAATAAATAAGATCGTGGATCTGAGTAAGTTGATGGAGGTCATTTAACGAAAAACCCAGAAGATTACGATGAGTTTGTTTGGGTAAAATACCTCATTTGTTTCTTAATCCTGCCTAGCCTATTTCGCCTTCCTAAGAAACAGTATGAGCTCGCGAAGAGAAGATAGACACACAACCACTTCTTCGTCCATTTTAAAATAGCCTTAACAGCAGGATAAGGGGCTGCTTATGCGCCCTTGTGTTAAATTTGATAGCATCTCAAAGCTTATGCGGTTATGCAAACTGATGCAAAGTAACATCAAAAGCGCCGTTAGGATGAGGAGGGACCGATTCGTGCAACATCAACTGAGGTTTCAGTCTGGGTGATTTTTTGAACAGTATAAACACCGATCACAATGCCTACCTTGAAATCGAACTCAGAATCACTCTTACCAACAGGTTCTACTTTGGACTGTGTAGGCAAATGGTAAAAGTAAAGTTCCCTCCTGACGAAAAAAGAGCAAACTCTACAAGGTCGTCATCATTCCCGTGATACTTTATGGTGTGGTGGGGCTGGTGACGATAATATCTGAATAGTCAAGTTTTACAGAAGAAATGTGGTGCTTTGTGCATTACCAATGGCGAATACTGTGTGACTATAATTCCACAAGTCGTGCCTCTTTCCACAGTTAGTCTTGTAAAAAGAGGAGGGTTAAGTCTTAAACTTAGAGCGCAAACCCCACACAGCTTCAGTTGCAGTAAAGGTACGGATTCTGAAGGTCCTACTTTTGCTCTCAGATTAACCACACTCTTCAAACTAAGCCAGATAGATAAAAGTGATTTATTTTGGCTTCGCTCAACTGCAGGAGCGAATCAAGTAGATAATGGGGCTCATCTCAAAATGGACGAGGGTTTTATAGGTGTAAATAAACTCTACGGGCAGCTAGGATGCAGATCTGGCCCTCCCGGAGAAAGTGAACTATTAGGAATAATGTTACACCGACAGCCACAGAGACATCAGGTTGTACGCTGAAGTGAATTATTCTTTTAACTATACAATACTTGCAGCTAGGACGCTCGTAGGGTGCATGTTGTTTGAGCAACATTCTTTTCTGGTGACGCTCTCATTGTCAACAAGGTGTCCTTACGGCTCTGTCGTGACAAATATATCCTCAACAGCCTCAACACAAATAGCTATGTCTGTGGGATGACGAATACTTTTGATGGGGAACTTCTGATGAAGATTTCCTTGTGTGGGGACCAAGGCTCACCTCCTCTTTTACACTGTCCACGGTCTGTTGCTGTCCTGTTGCAAGGGAGGAAAGAGTTTGAGGAGATATTCATAAGTTGAATAATCTTTCTATTTGATTCTTCTATCTGCGAACAGCAAACTATTGTGAACGAGAAGGCTCAAGATTAGTGAAACCTATGTAATTGAACATAAAAGAACTTCTAAAACGGGATATTGGAAATGAAAAAAAAATAACACAAGATTACCTTAAATAGTCAAATTCAAGTTCGAATATTTCATGGCAACCTCTTTATAATATTAAATATTATTATAGTAAAAAAACATACAGTTATTTGCTTAAAAATTCAATTCTTATAGAGCACACATATATGTAGCTGTTTTATATGTGCAACAAAATAACAATAATAACTTGGTTACTTTAATATATCTCAAATACATACCTTCCTTCAAGCTGGACACATAAACTTTGACGAGCAGCGGCTTGGGTAGACGCGTATTCTTGCTCGTTATGCCTCGTAAGGCGCTAAGCACGCCTTCATCGATGGACACTGCCATGTTTGGCGTTGTGTTGGCAGACACTTATGTTGAGCTTGAATGCAGTAACAGAGGTTGGACAACAATTATTGCTTATATTTGAAGAGCTGGCTGCCCTCTCACTTAGTTCTCTATCCGCTCACCCTTCAATTGACTTAGATAAGGTTTTAATATCCTTTATTATTCTCGGGCAAAAAATCTAAATCGCTATTTAAGCATATTAATATGGGTTGGTATGTGTGTGAAAGCATATTTATTCGTTGGCTTATTTTTTGCTGTCGCTCCGGCAATTAAAATCGATTTTATTGGCATTCAACAGATGTTGCTGTGGCTTAGTTTGTTTTTTTTTTTCTTATTTTCCACTATTGGAGTAGCTACTTGAATATCTCTCTTTTTTCAATAACAGTCATTCAGTGCTTGATTTAACTGATGTTTTTCTGCTGTTCGTTCGATTATGTGTGTATTTGATATATTAGTATTATGTACTAATAAAACCACATAACTCAAAACATTTCTAAGTATGCATGCAGTTTTGTCTTATTTCCACAAATTTTTATTGTCCTGCCAGACTCACAAAGCGGATGACTTTAGAAAAATATCGAAAATCGGCGTTTTTCTTTCTTTTCCGTGCACCTAAAAATAAACAAAGATATGTTGAAATATGTAAGTTTGACGTTATGCTAACTTATGAATATGTATATTAAGAGTTCGCAGTTGTTATGGAGAAAAACTTAAAATAAAATAAAATAAAATAAAATAAAATAAAATAAAATAAAATAAAATAAAATAAAATAAAATAAAATAAAATAAAATAAAATAAAATAAAATAAAATAAAATAAAATAAAAAAATAAAGTACACTAAAGTAAAATAAAAGAAATTAAAATAATTAATTTATCAGTAAGACAAAGACCTCCACTCCATTGAAACGAACAGGTGAGGAGCGAGCTGGTTTCATTTGATATTTCCAACTAGCGCTATAGGAAGAGATAAATGGTGCAGTTTTGTTGATGCGGTTGTAATTGCGAAAGCGGTGCTTCCGCCAATAAAAAGGAAGAAGATGAGTATAATGATAATAAAGAGCGTCAAGTGCTTCATAACCAGGAATATACTAAACCTTAACTTCATGCTAATTTTTTTCGTTCCTATTTTAATGACATCTTTTTAAAAATTATTATTAGTAACATTAAATAATTTCACTTTCCTTCCATGCCTTAATTAAAAAAAATTTAAATCAAATTGCGTAATGAAATTTTAAACGCGAACAATGCCCTTAAATTTAAGCTCAACAATAGCCTGTCACAGACTATGCATAAATACATACACACATCTACATAATTGAAAAAGAAAAAAACCAACTGCGTCCTGTGTGCTCAAATTCAATACCTTTACATGTAGTGCGGCATTGTTGTTCCATCCCCGGAACAATGTCGTTGACATCAATCGATGGCAATTACTTCCTCTTCGATGGAACGAACTGAATTGTCTCACTACATGGATATTACAACAAAGGAAAATAGACATAAACTCATATGCACACATGTAAATATACATATGAATATATGTGAGCATATATATGTATGTGTTGAAACTTTTACCAGATATTAGTGCAAATTATATATCTACATACATCACCAGGTACCAACGTTCTTCGGATGTGGGTGTATAACATTACAATTTTACGTGTTTACAGGCAATGAGGTCATACATACATACATAAAAACCTATATATCTAACTACAATATCGACTTTACCTTAAAAATATATGAGGTATACATATATGCATATATGTAGGTATGTACATATATACCAATATGTATGGCAATCTATTTGGAAGAGTTCAAAATTGTATAAAAATTATTTTTGTTGCCGAACGTATGCATATATATAATATATATATATATATATATATGATTGCAGTACTAAAAGTGAACATAACTCGGCATGAAAAGAAAATAATCCTATTGAATGGAGTTGAAGTACTACTTTGTACTTATGGCATATGCTGCATGCCACACATACTACACATACCACTGCACAGTGCATACCATACCACATGTGCCACACACACACATACACCCATATCACATACATTTTGGCTTTTTCTACAAAGAGCTTGAGGTGTTCACATGTGGCTGGCAGCTTCAGTAATTATTATATAAATGCAAAAGTATTTTTGAGTTTAAGTATCAGCGCTGTGTGGGGAGAGAGAAAAGGCAAAAATTTTCTTTGGAAGAAATTAAGAGCAAATAAAAGTTTGAAAGCTTCCCATGAGTATTAAGATATGAGTTTATAGTATTTAAAAGCATAAATACTTAAAGCGTGTTTATGATCGTAAAAAGTTTTGGCTTTGAACAGCAGATTACACTGGAAAATGTTGTATTTTGAGAAAACTGTTGAATTCAATTGTGTGAAATATAATAATCATGATTTCTTTTTTTAAATATATTATTTTTTGTGGAATTTCGGCCATTTTGACTATCAATTTCTTTATATTTTCAATAAATTCTTCGTAATATAAAAAATAAAATATTTTTTCTAATAATTAATTTATTTTTAATAGCAAAAATTATTTCTATGCATAAATAAATTATTTTTTTTAACAAAATTAATTAATTCCGAATAACAAGAAATTTATTTTCTGCACAACTAAATTATTTTTTAACATAATTAATTAATAATGTCGATTAATTAATTAATTTTTAATAGGAAAAATTCAATTTAATTTATTTTAAAACATAATTAATTAATTTAAGTAAGCAAAACTTTATTTTCTGAATAATAAATTTGTTTTTAAACCTAATTAATTATATTCTAATGAGTTTTATTTTCTGCGTAACTAATTTATCTCTAAACATAATTAAATAATTTTTAGTAGCAACATTTTATTTTCTGCATTATTGACTTAGTTCTACAAATAATTAATTAATTTTTAATAGCAAAATTTTTTTTATAAAAAAATAATTTATTTTAAAACATATTATTTAACTTTAATTTAAAAAAAAAATTATTTGTGCATATATATTTTATTAATTAACATAATTAATTAATTTTTGATAGAAAATTTTATTTCCTGCATAATTAATTTGTTTTTAAACATAATTAATTAATTTTAAATGTCATTAATTAATAATAAATTAATTTCTTTTTATTTCCTGCTAATTTCACGTTTCTTAAAAACTCTTATGAAGCCCTCGCTTCAGACATGCTGGAGTTCAACTAAAGAATAATTTTTCAGTTCATCGTTGCATAGAAAATATAAATGTATATAAACAAAAAAACCACAAAGAAGCAAAAAAAAAGACAAAAAAAGTTATCACACAAAATCAAAAAACAAACGAAAAATTAGCTGCAAATAATTGGTAATGAATCCACAATAAATATTCATAAATAAAGAAATATTAAATTACGTTTCGACTTCAGTTAATCGACAAAATATAGGCTCCATTTCATCGCTTAACTTATTATAAGCAATTATCACCGTATTGCAATGTATTTGCAATAATATTAGAACTTGTATATATATATATATATATATGTATATAACATAACAAAAAAGGAAATGATAGAAATCTTTATAACTGTACAACTATTTCTTACCTACCAATCAGAAAATAAATCAAACAAATCTAGAAGTATTTAAATTCTTGCGAACTAGTCCGAAAACCTCCTTATAGTAATCACTTACAAATTAATAAAATGTTTCTTTATAAGATTAATACTTCCCTCCGATCTAATTTCAGTTTAGGCAAAATATTGCAAAGTGAAGACAAGTATGCCTTCAATAGCTTCATGAACTCCATTTTTGAGGTCTTAAATCGACGTTGGTCTGTTTTGCCTCATATTATACGAAGCCCTAAAGGAAGAGGACGCATGGTGGTAAATCACAAGATCTTGGCGGCCAATTGGTATCACCTTTTCGAGAGACAACATGGTACGGAGATTTTTCCCTAAAAAGGTCTTGTTCTCGTTGTTTGTCCAAATCTATACCATCTAATTCCAGAGATTCCATTCACCATAAATGTTGCTTCAGCCTTATTTTCAAAAGAGGTAAGATAACATGACCTCGCCGGAAAATAAGCGCATCAAACCGTTACTCGCTGTGGATGTAGAAGCCTATCAGTAATACGAGTATACCTTGGGGCTTCCGAGCCTCAGATGTGACAGTTTTGTTTATTGACATAGATATCGAGCCTTCATCATTCTTGAAGAATTTTCGACGAAATTGCAGATAATTTTCTTGCATTTCAAGGACCCAATCATCAAAGACACGATGTGGTTGATGATCGGCCGGCTTGATTTCTTATTTGAACTGAATTTTGTAAGCTTTAAGACCGAAGTCTCTATGCAAAATACGGTGTAGTGACTTTTGCGGAATGTCCAATTCCAAGGAACGTAGAGAAATGCACAAAACCTGGGGTTTCTTCAGGTTAACTAGTACATTTGGCTGCATGGTTAATATTCTTTTTTAATATGGATATATTGGGTTACCATTCTTTGAGTGTCTGCATCAATACGAAAGGTAAGTTCAATTAACCTTATTAATCATTAATTTCCGTTAAATTGGCATAATGTAACGCGTATTTATTTGTTCGTTGTTTGCTGTTTGGCCTCAGACTGAGTGAGTGATTGCCTGACTCTCTGACTGTCTGACTCTTTGACTGATTGACAGATTATTAAATAATAGACGAGCATACACATAAGCGTAATTAATGTTGACTGTAATGCTTGATGGTGGTTGCTACGTACATACATACTCTTGATTATTCCACACATACATACAATAGTATAGGCAACTTGTCTATTATTAATCAACGCTGCCAAAATATTAGTATTCAAGTGTAGACGGTGTAGTGATGCAAAATTTCATTGCTCCCAGCTGGATTTTAGGCCAAATGTCCGTTTAATTGTTAGACAGGTATGTATAAGTATATAATATTGCCTTGACTCGTATAATCGTAAATATTAATAATATTTATGTATTTTAATAGATATATATACATATGTAGTGTCTGCGTGTCTGCGTGCCTGCTGTCAGTAGTTTCAAAAATTACTATAATTACAGCAACTGTCAGGAAAGTTTTGAACAAAACAGTCAAAAGAGATTAATATTCATGCCAAAGTATGCAGACTTGTTGTTGGTATTACGAACTCCAAATGTTAGGTAATAAAATTTTTGTATAAATGTGAGTGTTCGAATGAAAATTGCAAAAGATAGCGAAATGTTTGGTAACAGTGTTTTAGAAAATGTAATTGAAATATTCAATTAAATAGTTGTTCAAAACATTAAATTAATAAGTTTTAAGCTGAATTGGAAACTGTGTCACTATAAAGAGTTCCCAATCATGATTTATTAGTAATTTTATTTAGAAAATAAATACTGGAAATAAATTAATTTTTTGGTATGTGACTTCGCTAGAAATTAGTGTGTGCCTAGATGTAGGCAACGTTTTAGTGCTAAGAAACTTTTAGTGAAAAAGACGTGTTTATTCGATAAAAGATATCTCATACTTAATATTTATTTAAATATAGAAGGCATTTTGCTTATCATGCCTTAATTGAGTAAAAATTAGTTGAGCTGAAGTGATAGCTTTGTTTTAGCTTACCGGCTTAGAGAAAGCTTTAGTTTCTTCA